CACTAATCGCACTACTGATACCCAATACTTTTGTTCCTTTGATGGATTATCAGAGAAAACATGTTTTTTTTTCGCATAAAAATTCGTGTCATAATACATCGCTGGCCTTTGATGTGTAAGTTATTTATTTGCTGCGCCATAACCTCACCCGTATCTTGTAATTAGATGTAATTGGTAATTAGTTTTGGTGGGGCAGTTTGCACAACCAGTTTTCGACAAGAACTAATTGTGACCAGTTAAATATACTGTTTTTTGTGGTGGGTGAGAAGGGGTGGGAATTTAGACGCTGTGAGTTTGATATCTGTGAGGGGCGGGGTTGAAAGGGGTGCGGGTGAGTAGTTCTGGCATCGTTTCCTGTTGAGCAATTCTGGTGACGACATGACATGTTGGCCTGATTGTTATGTGTTATATGGTGCTTGTTGGGTAAGATCGTGAGTGTGCGCATGCGTGGGAGTGGAGTTGAGACGTTGTTTACATTTTATTTATACAGTTACTATTGGGTGTAAAATTTATTGGGTCATTATAGATAAGAAAAACTACAAACAGGCATATTATGATGACTTAGTATACATTAATCCGACCACTCAATGTGGAGTGTCCACATAAATCAGACAACTCAATCAATGTGGAGTGTCCACATAAATCAGACCACTCAATGTGGAGTGTCCACATAAATCAGACAACTCAATCAATGTGGAGTGTCCACATAAATCAGACAACTCAATCAATGTGGAGTGATCCACATAAATCAGACCACTCAATGTGGAGTGTCCACATAAATCAGACAACTCAATCAATGTGGAGTGTCCACATAAATCAGAAAACTCAATCAATGTGGAGTGTCCACATAAATCAGACAACTCAATCAATGTGGAGTGATCCACATAAATCAGACCACTCAATGTGGAGTGTCCACATAAATCAGACAACTCAATCAATGTGGAGTGTCCACATAAATCAGAAAACTCAATCAATGTGGAGTGTCCACATAAATCAGACAACTCAATCAATGTGGAGTGTCCACATAAATCAGACAACCAATCAATGTGGAGTGTCCACATAAATCAGACAACCAATCAATGTGGAGTGTCCACATAAATCAGACAACTCAATGTGGAGTGTCCACATAAATCAGACAACTCAATCAATGTGGAGTGTCCACATAAATCAGACAACTCAATCAATGTGGAGTGGTCCACATAAATCAGACCACTCAATGTGGAGTGTCCACATAGATCAGACCACTCAATGTGGAGTGTCCACATAAATCAGACAACTCAATGTGGAGTGTCCACATAAATCAGACAACTCAATCAATGTGGAGTGTCCACATAAATCAGACAACTCAATCAATGTGGAATGGTCCACATAAATCAGACCACTCAATGTGGAGTGTCCACATAGATCAGACAACTCAATGTGGAGTGTCCACATAAATCAGACAACTTAATCAATGTGGAGTGGTCCACATAAATCAGACCACTCAATGTGGAGTGTCCACATAAATCAGACAACTCAATGTGGAGTGTCCACATAAATCAGACAACCAATCAATGTGGAGTGTCCACATAAATCAGACAACTGAATGTGGAGTGTCCACATAAATCGGACAACTCAATGTGGAGTGTCCACATAAATCAGACAACTCAATGTGGAGTGTCCACATAAATCAGACAACTCAATGTGGAGTGTCCACATAAATCAGACAACTCAATGTGGAGTGTCCACATAAATCAGACAACTCAATGTGGAGTGTCCACATAAATCAGACAACCAATCAATGTGGAGTGTCCACATAAATCAGACAACTCAATGTGGAGTGTCCACATAAATCAGACAACTCAATGTGGAGTGTCCACATAAATCAGACAACTCAATGTGGAGTGTCCACATAAATCAGACAACTCAATGTGGAGTGTCTACATAAATCAGACAACTCAATGTGGAGTGTCCACATAAATCAGACAACTCAATCAATGTGGAGTGTCCACATAAATCAGACAACTCAATGTGGAGTGTCCACATAAATCAGATAACTCAATGTGGAGTGTCCACATAAATCAGACAACTCAATCAATGTGGAGTGTCCACATAATTCAGACAACTCAATGTGGAGTGTCCACATAAATCAGACAACTCAATGTGGAGTGTCCACATAAATCAGACAACTCAATGTGGAGTGTCCACATAAATCAGACAACCAATCAATGTGGAGTGTCCACATAAATCAGACAACCAATCAATGTGGAGTGTCCACATAAATCAGACAACTCAATGTGGAGTGTCCACCACGTGATACAGCAGCTGACCAGTGTGGGAAAAGGTCAAGAGAAAGGTCAACAAAAAGACGGTGAGTTACTCGATTAGCTAGCGAGACATGACGCTATGTACGGTCTCAGTAATCTACATCTTTAACAATAATCCCAGCTTGTCTTGTGGGGGAGGGGCGTTAGGAGAGGGTGTGGAGGGGTGGGAAGATGGATGGTGGAGAGTGGGGTGGTTGGTGGGAGAGATGGGTGGGAAGGGGGTGGGGGAGGTGGGTGGGGAGAGGGTGGGGGAGGTGGGTGGGGAGAGGGTGGGAAAGATGGGTGTGGAGAGGGTGGGGGAGGTGGGTGGGGAGAGGGTGGGAAAGATGGGTGGGGTGAGGGTGGGGGAGATGGGTGGGGTGAGGGTGGGGGAGGTGGGTGGGGTGAGGGTGGGGGAGGTGGGTGGGGAGAGGGTGGGAAAGATGGGTGGGGTGAGGGTGGGGGAGATGGGTGGGGTGAGGGTGGGGGAGGTGGGTGGGGAGAGGGTGGGAAATATGGGTGGGGTGAGGGTGGGGGAGATGGGTGGGGTGAGGGTGGGGGAGGTGGGTGGGGTGAGGGTGGGGGAGGTGGGTGGGGAGAGGGTGGGAAAGATGGGTGGGGAGAGGGTGGGGGAGGTGGGTGGGGTGAGGGTGGGGGAGGTGGGTGGGGTGAGGGTGGGGGAGGTGGGTGGGGAGAGGGTGGGAAAGATGGGTGGGGAGAGGGTGGGGGAGGTGGGTGGGGTGAGGGTGGGGGAGGTGGGTGGGGTGAGGGTGGGGGAGGTGGGTGGGGAGAGGGTGGGAAAGATGGGTGGGGTGAGGGTGGGGGAGATGGGTGGGGTGAGGGTGGGGGAGGTGGGTGGGGTGAGGGTGGGGGAGGTGGGTGGGGAGAAGGTGGGAAAGATGGGTGGGGTGAGGGTGGGGGAGGTGGGTGGGGTGAGGGTGGGGGAGGTGGGTGGGGAGAGGGTGGGAAAGATGGGTGGGGTGAGGGTGAGGGAGATGGGTGGGGTGAGGGTGGGGGAGATGGGTGGGGTGAGGGTGGGGGAGGTGGGTGGAGAGAGGGTGGGAAAGATGGGTGGGGTGAGGGTGGGGGAGATTGATAAAAACCCGTAGGCGCTTTTAAGGGCGTTGGCGTTAATATTACAGCAAGCCCACGGCGACACCAACCCCTGGTGGTTCTCCAGCCACCAGCCCATCCTGACCCCACCCCCACCCCCATCTTTAGAGCGCTGGTCGTTCTCTTACCACAAGCCCATCTAAACTCCCCACCCAACATTGAAACATGCAACGACTCCATTCTCCTGAGACTGACAGATGACTGCTCGAGAGTTTATAAGGAGAGAATCAATAACCCCAACTTGAGGGGGATCAATAGTCAGACACTGGGTTTAAAACAATGGGGAAATCTGAACTTTGGAAGCGAACAAGTTCATAATTCGGGCAGGATTGTAGTGTAAGGGGGTGGGGTGGATTTAGGAAAGAGGTTGATGATAGGTCTAAAGGGGAAACGGAAAATTGAAGGGCTTGAGAAAGTGTAAGGAGATCTTCTGAAGCGGGGGGAGATTTTCAGAAAGATAGCATTGAACTTCAAGAAAGTTTTGGTATTGAGTCTAGAAGTAAGAGGAAAATAATTTGAGGAAGTAAATTAAAAATAAAGAATCTGAAGAGAGCAAGAGCTTTATAAAATCTGGAGTAGGTGTAGTATGAATTTGATAAGTGAAGTATGAAGTATATAATGGGAAGGAAGAAGTTGATAAAATAAAAGAAGACATCGATAAAATGAAGGTAGGTATTGATAAAGTAAAAGAAGAAATTATTAAAGTGAAAAAGTAAGTTGATAAAATGAAAGAAGAAATTTAAAGTGAAGATAGATATCCAGAAATAGATGAAGAATATAACATTTCCAGAAGTGTTTTCATTCAAATTACTCTACATAAAGGTATACAAATGAATCCCTTTGTGCCAGAAAAATCCCATTAATATATACGCTTTTCATCGCTGGAAACATCGATATTTTTGTGATATTATCAATTATAAAATAAAAGAAAACATCGATATTTTTGTGGAATTAGCAATTATAAAATATATTACATTTATGCGCGAAATGAAATGCAAATAAAATTTGGGAAAGATGTCTTTAAAAACGCTAAGCAGACATATTAGAAATATTCTTGGAGTCGCAAGTGCTGGAGAGATGGAAGAATCGCAGACAATGCTGCGAGCATCTAGATAGATTTATTCTACAAGTGGTTATGTATTTGTGGGCTTGATCAGATTGTCATAGTTTCTGGTTTGATTAGATTGTCGTATTTTCTCATGTGTGATTCCAAATAATTTGACGTCAAGAGAAAGCGATTTTACTTCACTAGATCTGAATTATTATTTTTTAAAAGAATTTCATCAGATTCTTCAAGCTTGCTAATGTCATTTCGCTTGAACTTTACGAAACAATTGACAATTTTTCTTTTTTAATTCTCGTCTCTTGTTATTGACAAATCAAACATTTAAAAATCGAAACTTTTAAATATTTTTAGTAAAACAATTTTTAAAATTTCCTTCCAATTGTTTCAATCTGTTAATGTTAATCTCTAGTTTAAATTTTACATTTGAAAAAAAAAGCAAGAACTATTTCTGGTTTACAAAAAAAAAATTTAAAAAAATAATGATTCCATTTTTTAATAATCAACGCAATAACGAAACAATACACGACGGAACTCACCACGAAAGGAGACTTTGATGAGCCGCTCGGCCCGCCCCTTCAGTTTCTCCACATACTTGATGTGCAGTGTTAGGGCCATGATTACAACAGTCCCTAATGTTCTACAATCATTTACAAATCCTGCTTCAATCCGTCATGGCCGACACACGCTTGTCTTTACCCCGCGCTCACGTTAACAGCTGTGGAAAAATAAAAAGATCAAAAAGGTGCATTAGAAAAAAAAACGAAATTAAATTTGAAAATTTAAAGATGTCAGAATATTTTTTTTCGTCCTTGACCTCTCGTCCAATGGATAAAATGTCTTAACGTTTTAATGCGTCACGCGATCGTTGGATGTCGGGGTGGATAAAAAGTTTGGTGACGTGCGTCTTTTTCGTCATTCAATAATGGACGTTTTGTGTAGGGCATTGGACGGGTCGTTGTGTACAGGTCGTGGTGTACAGGTCATTTTGTACAGGTCATTTTGTACAGGTCATTTTGTACAGGTCATTTTGTGCAGGTCAGTTTGTACAGGTCATTTTGTACAGGTCATTTTGTACAGGTCATTTTGTACAGGTCATTTCGTACAGGTCATTATGTACATGTCATTGTGTACATGTCATTGTGTACATGTCATTGTGTACATGTCATTTTGTACGGGTCATTATCTACAGGTCATTTTGTACAGGTCAGTTTGTACAGGTCATTTTGTAAAGGTCATTATGTAGATGGCATTTTCTAAAGGGAAATTGAAGAGAGCATTTTGATGAGGGAATTTTTAAGGAGGGACTTTTGCATTGGATGTCACATCACAGCTCCTAGAACATCACAACACTAGAACATCACAACATTAGAACATCACAACCTTAGAACATCACAACATTAGAACATCACAACACTAGAACATCACATCCTTAGAACATCACAACATTAGAACATCACAACCTTAGAACATCACAACCTTAGAACATCACAACACTAGAATATCACAACATTAGAACATCACAACACTAGAACATCACAACACTAGAATATCACAATTGTAGAAGGACACCAGATTAACATAGAACAACACATCATCACAACAAAACATCACCAACATCAACAGAACAAAACATCAACAAAATCAACAGAGCAACACAAACGACCACAATCACGTGCCAACAAGAACACGCCCCATTCAACAGACACAGAGGTCAGGTAAAGATTAACAGCCACGTCACAGAGCTAATCCAACCTAATCTCACCAGATTAACCACCGGTCAAATAAAATTAACTCACCTTTCGGTTACCAGACTCCCTTTGTCATCCAATCCCCCACCCCACCCCCCACCTAATCCCCACGCACACAATTCCAGACACGTTTCACTCCATCTTCCAAGGTCAACTCGTCTTACGTAAGATTTTACCCTTCCCTCTCCCCCCCCCCCCCAGTGGCTACTCACAATGTACAGAAAACTTTTTTTTGACCAGTTAATATGGCGAGAGAACATATACAGAAGACTCACATAATCTTACTTAATACCACATAAAGATTCATCTATAGACATAACGATCCATTGGGCAGATGAAGTAGAGTTCATATTTTTCTTGACCTCAGCAAATTAAGGGAGAGTGTAGTCAGCCTTTACTTTCCCCAACTTGAGTTAGGTAACCCATCAGAGTTTCTTCCAGGCATCTCTTCTACCCCCCCCCCCCCCGAACGAAATGGAATTTATATAGAAAACATATACTTTTGACTGTGTCCGTCCCCCCCCCCACCCCCCCCCCCCCCCCCCGAAAATTTCAAGTGCACCCTCGGTGAAAAGTCTGGAAGAAACACTGGTACCCATCAGAGCTGGAAAAACTCAGGGACATTCTACTCACTTGAACTCGGATACGAACTCGAGACTTTCGGGCTAGCAGTCTACCGCTCTACCGCTAAACCACGCCATCCCTACTAATACCTCATACCTCACAAAATTGTGAAACAGCATTTACAGAGCACCCACCCAGACTACCAGAACCCGGCCTTAATAGCTAACCAAAAACTTATATGCATAGAGCATCCACGACTCTATCGATTTCCTTTTCTCAACAGACTCATTGAATATCAACACCCCAGAAGCTACAAAAACATTCCTCGTCTGGCACTCTAATACCCTCCCTATCTCTTTCTGTGACCCCCACACACTGACCCCCACACGAACTGACCCCCACAGACCCCCACCCTACACCCATAGTTAAACAGGCGTATATTGTCACAACACAAAGCTAACCCACTGGACTCAGCGATTCAGAAAACTCGAACGATTGTTATTTTGGAGGGGGAAAAAATAAAAAAAATAATTGAATACTTGATGTGGAGAAAATCGAAGAAAAAAAAATGCTATAAGATTTGTGGTTTTTTTTGTTTAAAGAGATTACAAATGCTAAAGGCAAGTGCGTCACTCGAACGGTGCCCATGTAAAGAGTTATCCGTTTGTTTTTATTTCAGAGATTTCTCTTTCTTTTTATCCATCCAGGAAGTGCAAAAATGTTTTTTTTTCAAGAATTAGGAAATTATGTGATTTTATTTTTAGTTGATAATGTCCCCTATTTGTTTAGTTGATTTTCGTTTAGGTTTTTGTTTTTCAAATGTAGGATTTTTTCGTCTTTTTAATTTTGGTCTGAATAAAAATGGCCAGAGAGCAAATTAATTGATCTGGCAGCTTAATGTCTCACTTTGATTAAAGTAATTTTCTAGGTACGTTAAAATTAGATTAGGAAATGGATTTGATAATTAGAGAGTTAGGAGAAAGGTCCCATCCTAGGGTGTTAGGGGAAAGGTCCTATTCCAGGATGTTAGGGAAAGGTCCCATTTCAGGGTGTTAGGGGAAAGGTCCCATTTCAGGTGTTAGGGGAAAGGTCCCATTTCAGGGTGTTAGGGGAAAGGTCCCATTTCAGGGTGTTAGGGGAAAGGTCCCATTTCAGGGTGTTAGGGGAAAGGTCCATTTCAGGGTGTTAGGGGAAAGCTCCCAATCTAGGGTGTTAGGGGAAAGGTCCCATTTCAGGGTGTTAGGGGAAAGGTCCCATTTCAGGGTGTTAGGGGAAAGGTCCCATTTCAGGGTGTTAGGGAAAGGTCCCATTTCAGGGTGTTAGGGGAAAGCTCCCAATCTAGGGTGTTAGGGGAAAGGTTCCATTCCACGTAATTTTTCCTAACACAATCCTAACCTTAACCTAACCTTCTGCGGACAATGTTTCGCGTTAAAATTACGGATTGTAAATTAAGCAGGTAGTAAGACTAAGAGGCGGTGTAAGGCAAGAGTTAAATTAGATGCAGGGAGGTGTTAGTAAAGTAAAGTTCCCTTTTCAAACCTGACGTTCTTTACGGCAAGTGAAGTAGAGTTGTTAGGGTTTTGGGTTATTGCCTGGGTTTAGGGTCAGGACATGGTGTAATCTTTAAGGCAAGATTTAAGTCAGGGCCGAGGATAGGTTTAAGGTTGATGCCTTTTTTTTGGGTCAGTACAAGCAGTGGGTTTTTTTTTCAGATTTTTTTCTCTGTAGGGGGGGGGGGGGGGGGTAGGCGGACACTGGTAAAAGTATATATTTTATATATAAAATCTATTTCGTTCGGCGATCATGGTGTAATGTGTAAGGCAAGAGTTAAGTTAGGGACAAGAATAGTTTTAGGGTTGATGCCTTTTTTGGGGTCAGGACACAATGTTTAAGGCAAGAGTTAATTTAATCTTCTACAGGCTCTACAAATATGAGTTCCCATTTTTTAAAAATAAAAATGCTTTGCTAACAGCTATAGGGCCTACCGATTAAAATTAAAACTAAAATTCTAAATATCAAAAGATGTGATGCCTAAAATAAATACACGCATATTTAAAACAAATACACGGATCGAAAAACAATATTTTTGCTCAGAATAAAATTGTATGTTGATTTGGAGTATAACATGGATTGGAAGTGTTTTTTATTTTTCGAATAAAAGACACAGGTTTGGTGGTAGAGTGATTTCTGTATTTGATGCGGTCAGTCACTGAGAGTTGAGTTAAATACATTTCACAGATTTATTCAGTGAAAATTCGCTGTAGCGGTTTTTATGCTCTTATTTATTGTTCACAAACATTTTTTTTTCCTATATTACAACAATCTTTTGTATCCTATTTTTTTTACTCATCAATTTAATCTTCACAACAAATCTCTTCCTATCCATGTTTTTAAAGTGCATTCTCTTTATATTGTGCCCCTGTCGGCATAATACAATGTCAATAATCATAGTCACAAAACAATTTGTAACGTGTTCACTTTTTTTTACAATCTTCCCAATTTTTATCTATTTATAGAAATATCTATACATAGCAGCCAATCCGTGCATTGTTAAAATTACAAAGCGAATGCTTGAGTTTTCACAACAATGAAACAAATACCATTCATGAAACGTTTGTGACAATTATACTACTTCAGATAATATTACCCTTAGAACTGCTACAATTTACTAGCATAACGCGGTACTGCTCTGGTAAATTACATTTCCGATACTTATCGATCCACCATTGTCTAATTTTAAGTCTGTTGTTCTTTGAGTGTGTGTCATATTAAAATGTGTTGGGTTCGACCTAATTAGGTTTTGTTTTGTTACCGGAGTGAGTGGTGTCTTTAGATTAAAAAAAAATGAAAGTACTTTTCGTTTTGCGGGGGATCATGTCTGATAATAGGTGACGTTTTGGTGGAAAAAATTATGTCTAGAACTGAAAAAAAAACAGGTTATACTGATATTATGGAGCGAGTTATATCAGAACATGGGTAGAGAAGAAGAGAAAGGTGTGTGATGTAGCTAGCCTAATACGAATTCTAGTTTCTGGTTGGGTAGGAAAAAGGGTACGCAGACCTTTGACCACCGGTGCTTTGACCATAGGGGCTTTGACCATAGGGGGCTTTGACCAAAGCGGCTTTGACCATAGGGGGCTTTGACCATAGGGTGCTTAGACCATAGGGGGGCTTTGACCATAGGGGGCTTTGACCATAGGGGGCTTTGACCGTATAGGGGCTTTGACCATAAGGGGTTTGATCATAGGGGCTTTGACCATAGGGGCTTTGACCATAGGGGGCTTTGACCATAGGGTGCTTAGACCATAGGGGGCTTTGACCATAGGGGGCTTTGACCATAGGGTGCTTAGACCATAGGGGGCTTTGACCATAGGGGGC